TGTGTTTGTGTGTGTGGTAGGCAAGACTATGGTTGATCCACCACGACGACACGAAAGACAACAGGGAAGCGTAATCATGGCACTAGACCTAGTTAACCACCCCAATATAACACTTATAAGATGTTTTACTTTGGAGACTGTAAGACTGGACTGTTGAAGTGTTATCATTGTCAAGAACTAGGTCCCATAGAAAGGAATTATCCTAAGCAGAAGGCCTCAAGGAGATTCGATAAAGCAGGTCGAGTTCACTGATGAATGCAAGAAAAAAACCAAGGGAAACAAGGATCTTATAACAGGACATATTACACGTTTGATTGATTCCTCTTAGTTCTTTTCATGGTAGAGCATCACACTTTCTTATATCAACTAAGTGCGTAAGAGGTTTGTTTGGAAGCAAAAGAGAGATTTTTCTTCAATGGCGAAGCTCACGAACTAAACAAAAACTAAGACTAATCCCCAACTACAAACAAGATCTTTTTAAATGGTTTAGCTCTCAACCAATATAATAACTTCCTAAGGAAGAATTATTTACTCAAGAGAAAAAATTTACTCTTGATAAATTTACAATTTTACCATCACCCAAAACAATGTTTCGCACTAGACTCAAGAACACTCTCAAAGCAATATGGCTAAAATATGCGAGAAAAATATGAAAAATTTAAAGAGGTTACGAGAGAAATGAAAAGTGAGATTTTTCACATTTTTTGAATTATGAAAAATGATAGAGAAGTTATCTATTTATAGGCCAAGACATGGTTAAAATTTAAAAACAATACATGTGCCAAATTAAAACCTAATCGATTAGGAGAATTGATTAGACAATGTAAATAATAGATTGTTGTGGGCTCAAAATGGAATGTTTAGATATAGATTTGTTACCAATCATTAAGAGACAGACATAATTGATTATATACTCAAATATCTATCATCTAATTAATTATTTCAAAGATCTAATCAATTAGACAGTTACAAAAACACTCTTAATATATGATTCTCAATGTTTTTAGTGTGTGTGATTTAGCCATAATACTTCCATAAATGCCCTTGTGTCTTTATAAGACACTGATCACTCAGACAGACACGACTCGGCGAGCTTTTACACTTTGTCTCTTTCACAACTCTAAATATTTCAAGTATTGGCATTACTACCTTTGACTTTACCCATCACGCTAGAACCTTTTGTCTTCATTGTGAGGATTGAGATATATCCATGTTAGTTACAATCATCTGAGAGATTGAAAGTTTAAACCACTAGTGAACATAAACCCAAAGTCTTCACTTGAGAGTTGTTGGACTATAATGTTGACTTTAAACAAATGTCTAACTTGATCCGAGAGGATAGTTTGATTAGTTATCATGTGCATATTTGATCGCTTAAGTTGTCTTCAATAGTTGCTTAACTTCAAGTGTTGTCGTCATCAAAACTAATCAGCTACTGCCTGTCTTGTATCCTTGTTATCCATAGGCTTTATCATCTTGGAATCACTTCTTGACTAAACCTGCAAGCACATAGATCAATAGCTTTGACATCTTGATCTCCAAACGTTACACTTTGATCACAACTTGATCACCAGAACAACAAAAATTTGATATCTTGAGCTCCATTTGATCATCACAACATATGTGTAGTGATATATTTGTCAGTGACCCACAAGAGGCGAATAGGCCATTTTGCCAACAAAGAGCAATGTAATCCTATCGCCCACGAGGTGGATGACATCACCCAAAACACTCTTGTTTTCCCAATGATCTTACCTGATCAGAAAGGAATCAGTGACATGTCACGCGTCGTCGATCTGAAGGTTGTTCGCCGGAAGTAGGGAGGAGGAGGGGGTGTACCTGCAAGACACTCAGATGCCAAAGTAAGTAATGGATCAGAGTGAGAGCAAATACTTAAGAGAGATAGAGAATTGAATATCTGACTCTCTAGTGAAAGAGGGTATTTATAGAGAGACTCCAGCGCAGGGCCAACGGTCACTTGTGTTGGGCTGGATTGACAGACCCAACCCAGGTGACTGTTAGGGCTTACGTGGCGTAGTGAAGACCAGTACGTGGTCTTCGCCCTAGTTCAACCATCTTGTGATCTCCGGAAGGTGGGTTGACCAGCTCTTTCGGAGGTGGGTAGTTGGCTGATGATGTGTCCCCGCGGAGGGGGCACGTGGAGAACGTGTGGGAGACGTGTTGTTCTGCCCGACGGGGGCAGGAAGTCTTCCCGGTGTGCCTAGACCCGTGCCCGACACTGGGGATTTGGGCCTTGTTGGGTCTCTCCCAAATAGCATTGGGTTGGACCTGCCCGGTGGATGGGCAGGCTTGGGCCCAGTCCAGAACACCTGGTATTGGAAAATTTGGGAAATGACGTGTCTTGGTCAAAGATAATGCAGAAAAAGAGTCAATGGAATAACTTACATCTCCCTAGGAAATAGGGATTCAACAATCCACTACCATTATTAGGTGGGCGATTGCAATTCCCAAGAAACCCTAAAACATGGTCCATAAGTCTATATAAATACCTCAACCTTGGGGTTGAAAGGGAGATTCTAAATTTACCACGAAATATCTCCCTATTGAGCTTGTCACCCTTGTGGACTTGCTCTCACTTTATAGAAAACACTGCCTAACAGGTTTTCTCACAATCGTGAGCTTTCCCTGAACCACCACAAACTTTAAAAGCCTCTGGCCACCCCGACCAACATAGGGGTGCCACGTGTCTGTACTTTTTTTAGAAAGTACAATATGACACCTTGATCTTCAAGCACCACCACTTGATCATCAGATGACAACTTCACTCGTCATCATCCGAACCAACAAGCCTTGAAAAGCACTTATGATGAAGACTTCTCTTAAGAGCGTTGTCAACATCAAAACTAAATAGGTTGCTGCAAATGTCTAATCTCCAAGCACATAAATCTATATTAATAATGGAAAGGATAATCTTAAGAAATTTGACGCAAAAGCTGATGAAGACATATTCTTAGGATATTGTACTTTTAGCAAAACTTTAAGAGTTTTTAATAAAAGAACCCCTAACAATAGAAGAATCAATTCATGTTATCATTGATGAGTCTAACCATTTATGTGTAGAGGTAAAAATTGTTGTTTGTGCGGGTATCCTTGAGAAAACATCTCTAGAAAGTAATGATCAAGATAAAGAGCAAGATCAAGCTCAAGAGAAAAATCAAAGTCTAGCTGAAAATACTCAAGGTGAAGAAGCAAATGTAAAATATCAAGACTTACCTAAAGAATAAAGGACTGATAAGGACCATCTAATTCAAATGTTATTAGAGATAGTTATATGTTATTAGAGATATTTCTAAGGGAGTTACAACTCGACACCCCCTTAGCAAGAAACATAACCATATAGCTTTTGTTATCCAAATTAAGGCAAAGGAAGTTGATGAGACTCTCGTGGACGAACATCAATCTCTTGTTATGCAAGAAGATAACTCAATTTGGTAGAAACAGCTAATTAAGTGATTGAAAATTGTTAGGTCTTCGCAACAAGCTTGATGAGCATGGAGAAGTTTTAAGAAATAAGAGATTTGTTGCAAAGAGATACAATCACATAAAGACATCAATTTTAATGAAACTTATGCTCTTGTAGCTCAATTAAAAGTCATATGGGTGCTTTAAGCTTTTTTCATGCATCGTAGATTTTAAACTCTTCTAAATGAATATAAATAGTACAAATTTATGTTTTTAAATTGATCAACCTCTAGACTTTGTAAATATTTTCCTTTCTAGATTATGTTTTTAAATTGAAAAAGACTATGTTCGGCTATAAACAAGTTCCTAGAATTTAATATGATTGTCTGAATAAATTTCTGCTTAAAAATAACTTTCAAAGGGGAGATAGTTTACAAAATCCTTTTTATCAAGAAATCTAAGCAATGCATTAGTTCAAATTTATTTAGATGATATCATTTTCGATGCTACTAAAGAATTCTTGTATAAGAAACTCTCTGAGACGATCGAGAAGGAATTTGAGATGTAAAACATAATTGCACAAGGGAAGAACCACGTCTATGAGTAGAAACGTGCATACGTAGGAGGTGCGGTGCATAAACGTGTAACACTGACATATGCTTAAGATATCTTAAACTCTTCCTTGTACCAACTTTCCATATGAAAATGAGGCTCTCAAGGATATTGTTGAAAAAACTACATAGTTGCTAGACAAAACAGACTTGTTTGTTGCTAATAATCCAGTGGGAGTTGAAACACGAGTACAGGATATGATTCAGCTACAAGATATCAATCAAGTGCTCCTTTTGCTGACCAACTTTCCGTACAAAATGACACTTGATTCTAAACTACTCGAACATGAAGGAAAAAAAAAAAAGATCAATTCCCAATAAAACTCAGATGTCATGATGAAGTAAAAAGGCTAAGAATATCACACATCAATCATACCCCATACTCAATAAAAGAATATCACATTACTAAGGAATCGATGACAGGCTCTCATACACAAAGCGGACAATACCTCGTAGACGCAGTGGTCAGTAGACTTTAGATCAAAACGACACAGATTTAATCTACCTTCTGCAACCCTTCTTCACTCTCAGGTCAAACTAGTACTAAGAGAGATCTGAAATCAATTCAAACCAAAAGAAAGTCAGCATGGTCAAGCAAACATAATGTGCGCAAGTTATTAAAAGTAAAAGTCACTGACTTTCTCCCAAGAGAACTTATGTAACAACTCTAACCTGACTTCATGGAGAAAAATATGAAACTAAATTGTGCTACTGGTCCCCACGAGTAAACATTCTTCCTCTTCAACTTCAAAGTTCCAAAGGAAAATCCTGTATTGTCAACTTGGATAATATAAACTTGTCAACTTATCACGCATTTCTTCTACTACTTCCTTTGAGTAGGCTAGTGATTCATCTGTTCGCATTTTTCATCTAGTAGACGCACTGCATTTTCCGGTTGAGTTTACCTTTGTCCCGCACATCTGCAATTCTTCCTGACACTAAATTTGATTAATCAACCAAAGCACGTTAATTTGCATCACCACTACAAACCATAACATTCTTATTTGGTGCATAACTTTGTTCCATTGTTTTGCCAATTGGTTCATCATATATGAGATAAATTGTTGTCTTCTTCACAACTAAATTGTTCTCAAAAACAACAACAACCTCCATTTTATTACCAGGTTCCATACTTGATACTAATCTCTGACCCTCCTCATCTTCAAATGAGACTAGTGCCTCTCTCTTATAGAGCTGAATGGTGGCCTTTGTGTAATTTTTCACCATTACATTTTTAAGGCCATTTGATGCTATGTTTTCTGGATTTGAAGAATGGACAATGCATATTATAGTCTTTAAATTATGCCCTTCCATGTGAGGGACTTCAAAAATTACAGAAGAACCTTGGCAATTGAAGGTTAACCAATACGGATACTTATCATCTGGGAGCAAAGAGCCACCGCAGCCATGGTCAGCCATATTCTGTACAATGGAAAATAGGATAATAAATTAATTGAATTATAAATTAACATTAACAGTAAGATACATCCAAGGAAGAACAATCAAAACCTGGAGAATTTTCTCTTTCAAAATATTGGCAACTTGGCAATTCATTCCCAATTGAATGAAAATAGATTTCAAGGAATTTCGTGATACTTGTGATGTAGTGGCAGCTAATTCCAATTCATTATAATTAGTGGCATACAGTGCCTCCAAAATTATTGCTGCATCGTAAGAAAGTTGAAGTTCTGAGCTGCATTGCACCCAAATACTTCGAAGACTTGGAAGGTGCTTTGAAATCAATGATAATTCGTGGGAATTACTATGTGGTACATCTAAAAGAACAGGAAATGACATGATAGTAGAACTTTGAAATTGTGATGGGAGATTATTTGTTGGTGACATCCAAGACTGAATGATAGATGGAAACACATCACGTGAAAATCCTTCATAGCCGCACAAAGAAATATATACAATGCTTTTTGATCTTATAATTGAAAACGGCACTTTTGCAATTGCAGTGTTATTTGCAATCAGGGTGGTTAAAGATTCCATCTGTTCCAAGTCCTCTTCCAATTTTTCAATCTTCAAACAACCAGAAAGAATGAGAGTTTTCAGAGATTTCAACTTGTAGATACTTCTTGGGAGACTGCATAGGCTAATACAATCTTCCAAATTTATTAGAAGAATTTTATTGAGATGTCCAATGCTAGGAGAAACCTCAGACAACATTGGACAATCGGAGAGTATTAGTTGTTCAAGATTAGGCAAATTTGAAAAGTTTGGGGTCTGTGTCAGATAATGAGAATGACTAAGTTTGAGAATTTTCAGCTTCTCCAGCCTCTGCAAGAACAGAAATGTTATATAGAAAACTTAGGGAAGAATCATAAATGATTTGTAAAAATATTCTTTAATGATCTATTTCTGAATTCTTAAGGAAGTTTCATTATCACAACCTCTTGGCAGAAGATTTAAGGCTTTTAATAATATGCCAATACATTAATGAGTAACAATATTCAATAACTTTACACTTGGCAATGAATCAAAACTATACAAGTTTCCTAATTCCTTAAAATGTTTGAAAAATTTGTACTTCTAATTTTGAAATTTAGATGAACTGTGATTCTAAGAAAAGGATAATATACTAGGCAAGTTGAATAATTGCCAAATTTCATCGGAGAAACTTCCAAACTAAAAACACCGACGAAAAGAAATATGAAAACTATTTCTAAATAAGGATATATCAAAATAATATAAAAGTTTGAAGTGCAAAAAACCTGAAATCAAAATTAATACCTGGGTTTCTTTCCATAAAAGTTTGATATTGCTATTTTCTAACTCAATTGAAACTAAATTTCCTAGATAAAAGCTTGAGGGTATGCATGTTAAAGGAAACCCATTCCAAGAAAGCCATCTCAGATTTCTCGAAAGGTATTCAAAATCTCCATCAAGTTGTACTCCAGCAAGTTGAAGCAATCTGAGTTTCTTCATCTTTTTAAATGCCTTAGTACTAAAACATTTTGCATTATCTCTTGGCAACATCAAAGTCAGTCCCTCAACAACTTTTGTTCCCTATGAAATATGACAGACCAAAAATGAAAACAAGTGCACATTAAATATACGAGGCAGGTTAAAAACCTTTAGATGAACCAATCATTTATTACTAGAACCTAGGAAGCACAATATCATTCACAACCAAACTAGTTTTTATATCACAACTAACTAATTGTTATGTTGTGATTAGTCACGAAAACATGCTTTTGTTAAGAATTTACTCATAAATATTTGTTTCATTTTCTTAAGCTTTGGATATTTTAAGTCTAGAATGTATGAAAAAAATATGAAGTGCTTACCGTCTGTTCAAATAAAACATTAAGCACGTCGTTACTAAACCACAACCTGCTACGCTCCTCGGGCTCCTTTGGTGATTCCTCGCGTATGAGTTCTCTTCCCATATCTCGTAACAAATCATGCATTCCAAGTCGATTCCCATCATCAACAGTCACAAGGCTTCGCTCAAGAAGGACATTTATTCCAATTTCTGCATATCGTTCACAACCATTTAATATATGTATAACTTCGGTTCGGTCCATCCCAATAAAGAAACAAGCAATGTCAAGAAAAATTTCTCTCTCAAAATCATCATTTAAACCATCATAGCTTATTTTTAACTTCTTCTGTACTTGATCATTTGGAATTCTTTTGAGCTTGTCCAATACACACTTCCATTCTGTTATCCCCCTATCACACAAATAAGACCCGAGAACTTCTAGAGCTAGTGGCAATTTCCCCGAATACTCCACTACATTTTGGGAAATTCCTACAAAATCTTCTCTAGGCCTTGCTTGCTTGAATGCATTCCAACTAAAAAGCTCAATTGATTCACTTTCATCCATTTCTTTCATTGAGTATACTTGGTCAACTCTATTAGCTCTAAGTATATGCATATCTCTAGTTGTGATAATTATTCTACTCCCAGAACCAAACCATTGACGACTTCCACACAAAGCATTCAATTGATCCAATGTACTCACGTCATCAAGTACAAGAAATACTTTTTTGCGGCAAAGTCTATCAGTTAATATAACTTTTCCTGCCTCAATGCTTTGAATCTTGGTTTTCGATTCCTTGCAAATATCAAAGAGAAGTTGTTGTTGTAAAGACACCGGTCCATCATTTTTCTCCCAAACCTCCCTTGTATTTGCTAGGAAGCTCCTAGCTTCAAAGTTACGACCAATTTTATTGTAAATGGCTTTTGCAATGGTGGTTTTGCCAATTCCTCCCATACCCCACATTCCTAGTAAATGAACATCATTTGATTGTTGGATGTCTAGTAGCTGAATCATATCTTGTACTCGAGTTTCAACTCCCACTGGATTATTAGCAACAAACAAGTCTGTTTTGTCTAGCAACTGTGTAACTTTTTCAACAATATCCTTGATAGCCTCATTTTCATTCCTATTTAAAAACCCAAATAAGATTTATGTATATATGTACACATACATCCTATATACAAATATCAAAAGTAGAGTAAACAAACAAGTTGATCCTTGACTCTTGCTAGTTACTTTCAAATGTCTCTATCAATATCTCAAAATGGCTTCTTACTAACGTTACTCAGTTATGTACCTCCATCAACACTTGTTTGATGAGGTCGTTAATGCCGCTTGCATGGCGCCAGTGAAGTGACCTAGTTGGACCTTGACTTTGTAAGTCCCTCTATCAACATTTCAAAATAGTCCATGACTTATCACTTAACTGGCCACGTTAGCACGGCGTCATCAAAATATAACTTAGAAGATTACTCCTCAAAAGTATATGGAAATTTGATATAAAAAATCCAGAAAATTAAAATATAACTTAAGAGATTACTACTTTATATATGCAAAATCATTTGGTTGATAGAATGATTGTTGAACATAATTTACCTTGAATTTAGTACTACAAATCCTGCAAGGTTTGCTGCCTCACGAAGCGCTGCTCTCCAACTCCATACCAGCCCCCGATTTGGCAACTCGTCTTTATAAATTGACAAACTGTTCAAAGCATATCGAGCAGCTTTTCTAAGCCTATCATAAATCCCATCCTTGTTTGAAAGCCTAGTGAGTAGAGTTTGAAATGCTTTTCCAAACTCGCCAGTTTGATGACGAACTTCTGAGGGATCGACATCATAGAACACCGGCAAAACCACTTGCCCTGTGGTTCTACGCGTCTCCATTATATTCACCAATTCATCGAGACACCATCGCGAATCTCCATAATTTAGTGAAAACACAATGATACAGATCTGAGATTTTTGAATTGCTTGATGTATTGATGCTGAAATGTGATCTCCTCTTTGAAGTGAATCTTCGTCTCTAAAAACATGAATTCCTTCATTTTGAAGAGAAGCATAGAGATGTGAAGTGAAGGAAGAACGCGTATCTTCTCCTCTGAAACTTAGGAAAACTTCATATTGCCTCATTAACATCGACCGTGCAGCTTTGCTAACAATTGGAACGACCCTTAGATCCAATTTACGCTTACTTTCTGTGAGATTTGAGAGATCTTCCATGGAAGACATGGACGAATCTGTAGGTGGAGCGATGAGATGAATTTAGTGCTTAGGAAAGTGAAGTGCAGTTAAAGAAAGAAGATAAGAAGAATAAGAGAGGTACAAATCAACGGTAGTTGGTCAACGCAATGTCATCATGTTTACTGTGTGAGAATGGGTCGTTGTTGTTGCGAGAAGAAGAAGGATTATTTATCCATTTAAAAAATGTTGGATATTAGCTTATATTATTAGTAGAGTGCCACCTGGACTGTTTAGTTATTGTATTAACCATACATACAATTCATGTTTCTTCATCTTCTCCATGGATCATGCTTTCATTTTTTCTTTGTATATGAATGACTTTTTTAGCTGCTCCAATGTTAACTTGGTATTAGAGTCTCACATGCTCCGGTCACCATTGTTTTTTTCTCTTAATTGTTTGTCATTCTTTCTCTTGTTTCTTCCATTTTTGAAATTCGATCTTCTTCGTATTTCTCTATCGTTTTTCATTTCTTCTCTTGTTTCTTACATCTATGAAATTCGATCTTCTTCTTCTTCCTTATGACATACCAGAGCTTCACATATTTCTCCACAAATCTGAATGAGAATTTTTCTCTTGTTCTAATCACATTGTTACTTGATGATAAGAACTACCACACTTGGGCAAGGTCAATGCACATTGCTTTGGTTTCCAAGAACAAAGAAATATTCGTTGATGGAACTCTCATGACGCCTCTGATTTCTGATCCTCTGTATTCTCCTTGGATTCGTTGCGACACCATGGTTTTGGCTTGGACTCATTGATCAATTTCTGAATCTATTGCTAAATATGTGCTTTGGATTGACAGCGCAGCTGGTGTATTCCGCATCTCAGACATTCAAGAAGACTTATACAAATTTCACCAGGTACTCTTGACGTTTCGAAATATTTTACTCAATTGAAAGTTCTATGGGATGAGTTAGAAAACTATAGACATATTCTTGCATGTGCTTGTGTTATACCTTGTTCATGTGGCGTTATTACATCAGTTCAGAAATATCGTGAGCAAGACTATGTCATCTGCTTCCTAAAAGGGTTGAATGAAAAATTTACTCATTCTAAATCCCAAATTATGATGATGAATCCCTTACTAGATGTTGATAATGTTGGTGATTTTAGTATCATCAATGGATTTTAGTAGTAATGTGATTTACTATAGGCCAATGCAATTATGCGTTACGCTTGGAAACGAGTTGGGATAGTGCGGAGTGCACGCTCGTCAAGCCAACATATAATTGAAACGGGGTTCCAAGGGGCAGCGCCCCGAGCGAAAATTTTGAATAAATTTGAATCCCAATTTTCCCAACGGACAGAAATATTTCTGAAGAGTTGTGTCATTTCAATTACTGTTATTGATCTCCTATAAAAGGAGTCATTTGGCCTCGGTTTAAAAAATACAGAAAAACAATACCATACTTTCTCTCTACTTCTTGATTTGTTCTCCATTGCCGGATACAGTTTGTTCTTCAAGAATTATCCCCGCAAAGATTTCGTGAACCCAGGCAATAATAGGGTCGAAATACTTTGTTCAGAAAGTGTTCAAACGCGATTCATCGAAGATATCCAAGATTATTATACCAAAAATCTAACAGATAAAGCCTTCTCCCTTGTCATTAACCAAGAAAGAGAACTTAATAATTCAGTTTTTGTGGCAGTTCCAAATGCACCTTCTAGTGAAGAAGGGGTTGCTTTTCAATTTCAAACAGCATCTAGAAATTCAAATGGCAAGACTGGTATAAATTTTGTCAAAGGTAAATGGCAAGGATATGGTGGAGCACAGGGACATAACCGTGTTTGCACTCATTGTGGCATGATCAATTACACTATTGAAACATGTTTTCTCAAGCATGGATATCCCCCAGGTTTTAAAGGCAAAGGTAAAGCTCTAATTGCAATTTCTCAATCTCAGTTTGTTGCTTTGGTTACTACAGGTTCAAAGTCATCTCAACAAAGCTCAACAATGTCTTCTTTTGGATTTACTCAAGAGCAGTACAACATTATCCTGGAATTGATTCAACAGTCCAAGATCACACCTAAAGCCAATTCCATATCCACATCTCCTTTTGTCCTAAACTCACACTCTCCAAATGCCAATGGTAAGAATCCTCACCTTTGAATCCTAGATACAAGTGCAACTGGTCATATATCATATGACATAGCATCCTTTACTTCTTACAAAACTAATATTCTTGTCCATGTTAGCTTACCCGATGGCTCACAAGTTATTGCATCCATGTATGGTAGTGTAGCCATATCTCGTGCCCTAACCTTACACAATGTGCTTTATATTCCCAACTTTCATGTTAACTTGCTTTTTATTGCTAAACTTGTTAATAGTAATGACTGACATGTTAATTTCACTGCTAACTCTGGCCAAATTTTGCAGAATCATTCCAAGGCAGTGATTGGTACAACTAGCTTGCAAAAAGGTTATATGTACTTGACTAAACCAATTACTCCTTAGCTTATCATTCTAATGCTCAATCTGATTGTAATCTTTGGCATTTAAGATTATGCCGCATTTCTAATACAGGCTTACACAATATTTCCAATTTTTTCCTTTTATACCTTATGCAAATGACAATCTTTCTTGTGATTCTTGTCATTTTGGCAAACAAAAGAAACTCCCATTTTCTCATAGCACTGCTAATTCATCTGCACCTTTTGAGATTTTGCATGCTAACTTGTGGGACCTTTTTCTACTATTTCAGTATTAGGACACAAATATTGTTTGACTTTAGTTTATGATTAAACTAGATACATATGGGTTATATTTCTCGAAACCAAAGACCCAACTAAAGCGAGCCTCATTCAGTTTATAGCCTTCATTGAAAACCAATTCAAAACCACCCTAAAATGCTTAAGATCAGATAATGAGACTGAGTTCATTGCCCTCTCTGAGTTCCTCCTATCCAAAGGCATTGTCCATCAAAAATCTTGTGTTGAAACACCCCAACAAAATGGGGTGGTAGAAAGGAAACACCAACATATATTGAATGCTGCTAGAACATTGTATTTACTTTCTCATATTCCCTTAAATATTTGGAATTTTTGTGTCCAACATTGTCATACCCTAATTTTGTCCTACCTGTTTGATTTTCATTTGTTCATCCACTGAAAAATCCAAAAATATGTTGCTTGGCTTGCTGACTAAACTCGGAGGGTGTCATAGCCGGACTACATTTAAATCGTGGTGCATTTGAGTATTTATCGTGAAAGTTCATGTGCCAATACAAATTCCCTGGGTATAAATCAAGTTGTCATACTATCGATAGTTTCAGGGTTGATAATCATTAGGATCCATTTGGAATGAGAACTGAGGCTTTTATCTCGAGTCATGATCTCTAATCTCAGTATATGCTCATTCGGCCTGTAATGTTCAAAGTGGGAGCATTTTAATCCTTTCATCTCAAGGTGGTGTTCGTGAAAGAGTTCGGGTGTAGTGTAGATAGCATTTTGTTTTTAAATCCCAACAAAGTCCATAATTCATAAACTCCAAAGACAGGTTAATATGCCCATGCCATTTGTTCAAAAATTCACAATTGAGGTTTAGAGTTCATTATCATTTAAATTCCATATCAAAAATCTCAACAAGAAAAGCAAGCCATGAAGTGATCATGATTGATTTTAAATTATTGATTGTAAGTCAAGATGTTGGTATAGGCATGGGCATGTCACTTATGTCTCTAATCTGTAGGTTCCTTGTGGTCATGTGGATCTATGAGAAGGGTGCTAAATAATGAGAAGCACATTGGAAAAAAGGATCTCTTGGTTGTACTTTAAGTTATTCCAATCTATTTACAAGCCAATGAGGTAATCATGTCTAGTCAAGAGCACAACTTGAGATTATTTATGATTATATGGAAATGCGGTAATGTATCAAGGACTTAAACTAACAATCACAAGTCATGAAGCAAAATACCACAAGCAGAGGACAATGTTGAAAGTTACGAGGCTATTCAAAGCATATTATGTGAACAATGTTACATCAATAATTCTACAGTATATTGCACATTAAAGAGGTTCAAAAACTACAAGAGGCTTGAAAGTAATAAAAGGCAATTCAATTGAAGAGTTGCTGATACAAAGTACAGAGGTTAAAAAGCTAGTAAGCTTGTGAGATATTTCCCATTTCATTAAGGTGGCCTTTATGCAAGCATTGTACCATTCCAACGATTACATGAGTTTACAAGGTAAATCAAAGGTAGCCATGTCCTGTGAATGATTAGCAAAATTGTACACCAGCCTGCTTTCATTACAAAATCCATGTATAAAAGCCGCAAGTCGGTACAAAGCGCTGCGAGATCAAACATCAACAAGTCAGCTCATTCTTTAAAAAAATAAAAAAAATAAATAGTTACAGGAAGAATTGGGAAGCATTGCAAGCTTGTACGGTCCAAATGTTAACAAACCGACTACAGAAGAACCAGCTAGCAAATTGCTCACAGCCAACAGAACATCATCCACCTTCAACGTATAGCTATCCACGTAGCAGGATCATACCTGAAGTGCAGTATCAACATACTCGAACTGCTCACCACGAAAGGAACATCCATAAACTCGTACGACCGTTCGTACTGTACTACTACGTTCCCACAATTGGACCCCTATCACGCATCAGCACCAACAGTAAGAAACACGCAGTATTTTACGGTATCCCCCAAGACATAAAATATCAGCAAGCATCATTTTGCTGTGGAAGACTGAGAGATGGAAGACCATGATCCACCAAATGCCAAAAAAAGACCTGCATAAAGTAGCAGGATGTCAGCGAGAAACTCACGCCATGACACCACCTTCACAGCTTGCTAACAACTCGAGAACAGTTTCAGACCGCACCACCGTACAAAAGCCTCGCCGTTGTATGGCAAATTAGTGGACCAATTACTCTCTGTTGATGTGGTGTAGCGGTCATTGAGTTAAACAAAGAGTAGATTTGTCCATCTAGCTCGGAAATCCTTGCTAGTTCCACGGTAACAGATTCTGAAGT